TATATATATGACATCTGTAAAAGTATCATTCCGAATGAACGAATTTAGTAGTTCAAGGAAGAAACGCGCGCGCGCGCGTGCGCGCTCGTGGAAGTCAAAAGCGAAAGAAGTGTACAAGCTCGGAGTAGAACCGGAATTCAGATAACAAAATTTTAACGACCCGGAATTGCTCATTACGTGCCGCGCGCACGTTTATCACTATTTCGAATCGTAATCGCCGGTTATCACGCCAACACGCGCGCAGGGCAATTTTTCTCGCACGCGCGAAACCGTGCGATGCAATTTACGATTAACGCAACATTTTTCGCGACGCGGTCGCCGCGCGCGAATTCACCGACCGATCGTCTTCATCACCGTAACACGCGCCCGAGATAAGAAGGAAGGCATTATATCTTCTTCACGGACATCGGCGAGGCTGCACTTTCGGTATAATTTTGTCATTAAACCTCCTCCCTACCTCCTCGCTCTTTGCGCACCCCCTTCCCTTCCCTGCGCTCGCTGAAAAGTCGAAGGTAGGGAAGGTGATATGTGTAGGGACGGACAATAATTTTTTACTGCATGAAGCAGTAAAAAGTTTTAATTTTTGAAGAATCTTAACAAGATTCATGACTAAACAAAGAAACAACCAAAGAAATCTCTCTTTTTCTTACTTTATATGATAATGTAATACATAAAGTAGATAAGATATCAATATTGTATTTTTAATCCGTTATAATAATTGTTTAATTACGTCCACCATGTCCGCGTTTTGAATTTTATGTGCATTTTAGTGAATTAATTTTAGTAACTACACAAATTATATAGGGACCGGCACGCGTTCAGAATTTTTACATCATTCTCAACAATCTCAACGAAATCACAGCTCCAGATTTTAATCTTGAGTCATTCTCGGAGTATTATCTATAGAACTCTTCAAAAAAATTGACAAATACATTTCGCGAAAACAAGATTATTCCTTGACGGCTTGAGAGCTGAAGCTTAAGTCTCATTAAAATCTCCGTGTAGATCCACCCCTGATGTGGCGTAGAGACGAAAGACGAGAAGCTGGCCGGGCGGCAGGAGAAGAACGAGGACCGCGGATCCGGCGATGATAATGATTCCGACGATGATAGACGGCTCGTTATTACTATACGCGTTCGCGCGAGGGTAGGGAGGGGGACAGGCGGCCGGCGGCCGGCGAGTTCGTGTTTTAGAGCTGGGAGCGATTGGTCGACGCCATTACTCACACCGTTTGCGCCTGCCACATGGTCCGATAGGTCTCTTCTCATCCTTACCTTCTTCTCTCCTTCCCACCTCCCTTTTCCTCTCTCCATCTCCGCACTCTCGCTTCTGTCTCCACTTCTCCTTTCAACCCTTTCGCCCCGTCTCTCTTCATGTCTTCCTCTTTCTCTCTCCCGCATTTGCTCCCCTTTCCCTCCGGTTACCTTCTTCTCTCTGGCTTTCGCTCCTTCTCACACGATCTTCCCGTTCGCTTCTTGCGTCCTCTTCTCTTTGTTCCGCACCCCTTTTTCCCCTCCGGTTCTGACTTTCAAGCGCGAGATCTGACGGCTGTATCGTACCTCCTTAGGGCGCGTATTTTATTTGGCGCGCCCTTCAATTACCTCGTACGCAATTCGAATGAAGAAGAACAATTGCTATATTAGATGCTCGCCGGGTGGGTGTGTTAATACATTTTACTCGTGACGCGCGATCGCAGCCGCTTGATTCAACGATTTATTATTTTCTTCGAGGCATACGTGGAGAGACGCAAGCCTGCACCGCGCCGATGGGCGCATGTGTCGTTCCTCCATTCGTGAGAAATCGGTTTGTCAAAGTCAAAATTTACAATAAAGATTTTTTTATTTGATGACCTAACTAGCCATCTTTATTAATAATAATCGTCACAACGCTCGATTGGTTTTGATCAATTATAATCGTCACAATTTTAACCATTAATTTTGATTTTCCTCAATCGATGTAACTTTTGATAAAAAGGATTAAAAAGGATATGGTAATAGGTATTCTTTTTAAAATCACTGTAAAGAATTTATTGTGAAAAATATCACTGGTCGAAACGTCGTAACAATTATAATTATAATAAAGATGGCCAGTGTTAGATCGAATACAAAATCTTCATTGTTAATTATTTACCGACGAAATAAAAGTTTCTGATTTGGTTTAATGTCAAAATTTATCTATTTACATCTGTCTATAAATAAAAAAAATTGTCTAAAAACTCACAAACAAGTAGCACGCAAGTAAGAAATAAATCGCGACGTGCTCGAATTTCCGCAATTTCGAATCACATAATTTCCTTTTAGACGAAAATGAAAAACCGAGAAGTGGTGACACTCTCCTGCGAGTTGGTGTCCAAAAATTACGTAATCGCGAAACTTTCTTCTCTCGACAAGAAATGAGACCCGAGGAAATTCATCGTTAATCGCACGATCCAGTTTGAAGAGAGTTAAGGTCAAACGCAGAACGCAAATCGATTGGCAAGTTTGGCCTCGATATCATGCGTGCGACTGATGGGCATCAATCGCGAATGTCTTTCTTCGCCTCGTCGGTCTGCTCCATCGTCGTCGCCGACATTCGTGAGGCATGATACGACATGACAGTCGGTTTGTGCGCGACGTCATGAAGATGTCCCCGACGTCCTGTGAAACGACGACGACGACGACGATGGTGGCGAAGGATTTACGAATATTTCTACCCTCGTCCGTGTATGTGGACGCGCGCGTATGCGTGCACATCGACGTTACACGCATTATCTGATGGCACCGACATACGTCTTCGCTGTCAACTGATCGTTAAGGGAGCAATCAGAGTCGCTCGGATATATCGGCCAGGTTGGCCCTCTTCTCGTCTTTCTTCTCCTGTCTCCTGTTTTCTTCTCTTTCTCGTTGTCTCCGTTACGCCGCTTGCGCACGAATGCGCTAAGATGATCGATAGCTGTTGTCAATGCCTCGATATCGACAGCATTATTTAATAAACGACATTTCTTGGTATCCTACTTGAGAAAAAAACGTCTCGTAAGATAATGAATTATTAATAAGTTGAGTTGTATGATCTACACTATAATTTTCCCATTGCCTCTCACCCTCTCCTCCCGTCCACTCCTAAAGAAATATATGTATAAAAAATTAATTGTAATTAATCGTAATACTACACTGTTGAATATTACTACAATGTTAAATAAAAGATAATATTTAAACCAATATCTTATGTTAAATAACATTTTGTTATTTTTAACTACCATATGAGTCGAACTTTATTATTTTAACACAAAAGAGTATTATTTTAACTCCATTTTAGTTAAATTAACGACATGTTGAGTAGGAGCAGTGGCGACTTATAGGAATGATTAAAAATGACTCAAATTGAGCTCGTATAATTTGACACTACGAATTTAATAGCGTATCGATATTGGGATACATGGAAGTCGAGAATAAAGGGAACGGACAAAATTCAAAAAGAGGTCGGCGACCAACTTGCAAGCTGCGAATCTCGCGGATCGGCAAAACTTTCAGTTATATTCAATATGTCTCAATGAATTTGCGATTTGAGGATTTCAATGATTTTCCGATACGATACCAAACGCGATCCCTCCGCGGTACGTATACGTAGGGCTTATACATTCCCCAGGTGATCTCCCGGGCAGCCGCGCTCTCCTTTATTACGTGACAATATTGCGAACGTTTCTTGCGGGCAATAATGCGCCTTAAGATCCGTGCCAGATGTCACCGGCGCGCGGATAGCGGGTCATATACGAGACCGAAATCTCAAATATTAGCGCGAAATCGTAGATGGGAAAGCGCACATCCTCTACGTGGCAATATCGCGCTGCTCATCGTCCGCACATCGTTCTCCTCGCGCTCGCTCTTTCATCTTCTGGGATGTTCGACGACGACACGTGCGCGAAACGGCTTATAAAACTTCTCGTGGAACGTCGCGGCGTCGTGGCGTCACGTTGCGGCGAGGGATCGCCCCAACCGCGGTTTTTTATTCATTGTTAGCGAGATATATATATACCTATATATCCGTAGGATACATTCTGATTCGATATCTGTGATTCCTAAACTTCAACAGATATTTGTAAAGTAACCGGAAACACGAAGAGTAACAAAGAAAGTTTCGTTCCTTTAAAAAAATCTATATTATACATACGATCTCTTGTTCCGAAAATTTAAAGAGAATACTAGAGCGTATTACAAATATTTCTTAAGTGAATTAAAGAAAAATGTCCGAATAATTTAAAATAACGGTATAGAGATCTATGTAAAATTACAATATTAAGGTAAAAATTCGGTATCAATACTTTTAATTAAAATATACTCATTTTAATAAATATATTTATCATACTTCTTCTAAATATGTTTATTTTTTAATCACTTTACATATGCCATACGTGGAAAATATTACGATGGCAATTTCTTAAGTAGAGATCCTGTCTGTACTCTCTCTTTTACATCTCTTTCTCTTTCTGTTCTCTTGCTTTTTACAAAACTGACGGACCAATCAAAACTGTCTTATAACCAGTCTCTTATTATAGGGTCTCTATTCTCAAGCACCGACAAGATACTGTTAAAGCCATCTCGTGTCAGTTTCGTATACCAATTTGCTCAAAATTATATAACTGAGAAAATCTTCATAAATTTCTTAAATATTTCGTATAAATAATACGCATATCGTATTGATTCAATTAATCCTACAATTAAAATTATTAAATAAGATTGATTATATCATCAGTTATTTTTATATTTCTTATCATCTTTTAATATATCGATTATCGATATGCTGTTCTATGACTGAATTTCAGAGAGTCAGTTGAATACCGACGAATGATTATCCACCGTATTTTTTAACCATAGATGGTCAACCAATTCTTTTTTTCTTTTTTCCATCTTATAAATATCATCTGTTTATAATTGCAGTTGTCGAAGCTTTTCACGAATAAGAAAACTCAAAAATACCAATATCGATTTAATACGCTTTTTAAATACGCAATAAAAAACCAAAAATATATAGTGATCTTAATGTATTTACCTTTTCTTTTACACGAATTTTGTATATACATGTGGATTCAATTTTTCGAGACAATTACAGATTATCCAGCTCCTGTCACAATGTATCGTAGGGCTTGTTCTTTCAATTCAATAAAATAAAAAAAACGACGCTTTCTGGTACATATAATGAAATTATGATCTCGGAACGCCAGCTATCACGTAGCACATCCTACTTCTAAGCAGCTCTATCACATTGTCAATTCCTGAAATAAAAATATAACCAGATTAATCAACAACTCCTACATCTGTCGAGTATAGTTTATTGATGAAAAATGAGTCAGCCTGCCAAGATGTATTCAACATAATTTTTATTCTGATAGTAAAAATATAAGCGAAACCCTTGAAACGATCATCATGTAGTTATGTAAAAATACTTAAATGTGTGCAGTATGAATGTACGAATATATATTTTGAAACTCACCATGATAGCATTGACGATGTCATTTTGATTATTCTTAAGAGCTTTAATTGCTTTCCCTCGCGATACATTAGCTTGACACATGACCAAATCAACGTCTTTCTCCTCCACGCCTGTCTCGTCTACCTCTTCTTCTGATTCTTCTTGTATAGGAGCAACAACCTAGCATAACAAAGTAAAAAAAGTAACGGTGAATGATATCACACAATAATATTTCAGTTCCAAATGGACATATTTTGTTCTGTAACTACAAATATATATATCTTACCGTAGTGCTACCGCCAGCCTCAGTAGCTGGTATAACTGGTGGCTCCTTGAACTTCTCAGCCGCTGCTACCTGAGCTTGCTGACTGAGATCTTCAATCTATACAGAAAATTATTAATACATTTAAAACATTCAAAATATATATTAAATAATTTAAATTTATGTAGTAACAAATATATATATATATATAATTGTTAAATGTCAGTCTGCCAAGGTTTTGTCAACATTCGATTTCTGTTATAATTAGCGAAACCTGGTAAATCATCATAGAAGTTCAATAAATATGCAATATTTATTGTTAAATTACAGTCATAGTTTCATTTCTTACCTTTGCTTCGCCAAATACTATATACGTGTCCGAAGCTGGATTCTTCAAAACGTCCGGCTTGTTTATAACAAACAGAATGTTCTTTGATTTACGAATGGTCACTCTGTTGACTCCTTGAACCTGTAAGCAGACAAAATTGGCTTGAATATAAAATAAAAGATGATACATGACAATAGACTTAGGGCTACTTTGATCAAATTCTGATTAACTTAATCATTGATTAGCTTATTGGAAATGACCAATCGCATTTGTTCATTAAGCAGATTGACAAATGCAATTGGTCATTTCTAGTGGACTAATTAACGATTAAATTAATTGGAGCCTGATCAAAGTGGCCCTTATAAACAGCAAATCTTAAATTTGATCCCATATATGTCCTATTTCATAAAAGGTAAAAAGTTTTGAATGAAAGATTATGAGATTGCAACCCATTTCGAGGACACGACAAAATGAATTTATTAGAATATTAAAATATTCAATAGTTCATATACCGGCTTCAATCCTAACTTGCTCATGAGCTTCCTAGCCTTCTTTTCACCGCGGCTCTGCTTGGCCTTGGACACCATATCAATGGGAAGTCCAGTGACCGTTGTGCCGGGAAAACCGACGGTACCGGGAGTGCCGGCATCTTCCAATTCCGGAATAGTATCGTCCGAGTCGGAGTCGGTCGCGGAGCCGATACCCACCAGCTCCACCTTGGTAGGCTCCGAGCTCGCCGCCTTGTCAAGCTCCGTCAATTCCGGCATGTTTACTGGCCTGCAAAAGACGCATTATTAAGTACTTTAGATTATTACCCTCTTTGTAGAGAAACGAGATCATCGCCAACGTTGAAATGGAACAACATTAGGGAACTACCACTTGCTGGAGTCGATAGATCGACTCCACCCAAGGTGGAGCCTAAAGCACGTTTAGATGAGATCATTTTCAACAAGGCGATCCGGTTCGCGCAAAATGTAATACACATTCGACGTTTCGCAATAAAGCGTCAGATCGTCGTGTGATCGGCGCGACTATCATCCGTACGTGAATGGACATGGCGTCCGCCAGAGCAACCCGAGAAACGGCTCAGCAAGGACAATTCGTTTCGACTTTTCGTGACTTTTACCTAATATCGTGATTCGTTACGGCGCACGGTAAACACGGATACCACGTCTCGTCAGCGTTAAATTGTAATTAGAAACGTTCCGTTAGGACGTTTCATTATGCGTAGGCACGGGTGAAAATTGGCGGAAACGAGGCACTCGTCGGGAACCCGACACGCTCGCGTCGATATCAATGACGATAAAGTGTATCGCGCGATACTATTAACGCGGACATCGCGGCCGATGTCAGATCTCGCGATATATGCGCGTCCCTCGACGAATTACACAGCGATGCCGGAAAAATCGTTAGATTTACCTCAAACGATATGGTCCGCCGACGAATGGGCACTATTATTTTTTTTATCGCGTGACGCGTAAGTTAAGGCCAATTTACACGTGGAGCAGTGGAGCTTTGCGCGCGCGCGCCCACACGAGCGCAGCCTGATGTTTTTGAGAACATCGCCGAGGATCGAGGATCTTTTGTGAGAACCGTACCGAATTTTTCGCGCGTGCGCAGTAACAAATATAATGACGCGTTGCAAAACGCGGGAGTTTCAACGGGTGGACACGAGATCAGGGGAATCAGGGTCAGGCTAATTAAAATTGTACATACATATAAGTGAATAAATTAATGTGGCGATCGTGGCGCAGAGAGAGGTGCGTTATTCTAATAAATCGAAGATCCGCTTTCAAATCCGACCAGAAATCGTTGATTTTTATTCGATCGCCACTTTTCGATAGGGGGTAGCAAATCCTATCATTACCATGGAGCATTTCTCCATAGAAAACCAATAGAAATCGGCGTTGAATTATAAATCCTTTATATCCGACACTCAGATATATGCAGAGGGACTTACGATACTCGAAATTAAGCAAAAACGAAATGAATTAATATTAATAGCACTTGAACGGAATAAAAAATTGTTATTACGTCTAATATTACTGGCAGAATGTAACAACTACGCAGATAAGGCGAGGAAAGAAAACTAAGTTGAATTCTGTCTAAAATTTGTATTATATCAAGAATTTTGCAAATCGCTTAAGTAGCTCTTCTACATACAAATTTATCACACTAAAATGACAGTACAATTCCTTATTGAGGAAGCAAAAAAGTACAATATAATGAGAAACAATCACACATTCATAGTTTTTACAATTCACAGTTACATTAAGGTCGAATATGAGCCGATATACATTAATCATGAGTTTCATTAGCCTATCTAGAATCACAGTAGAGTGTAATCATAAGTAACACAATATAGAGCGCATTCTCAGATTTCTTGTTTATCATGATACTATTTCTAGATAATCTAGAAGCTATCGACGTGTTAAATAATTTTTCATGCAAAAAGGCAATACCTGTTGTAAAATGCATATTTTTCTTTGTTCCTTCTTTTCAAAAAACTATATGTTCACATAACAAAACTCATGTTTCACAATAGCCTTATATCTAAACTATTTCTTAAATAATTAATACGCGAAAACGCAAAGTTCGTTTTTCGTTTAATAAAGCAACGTATGCAACTATTGCAGTATTCAGATAAAAGGCATGATTGGTTGAGCTCAAAATATACGAAGAAAAGATCAACGTAGCTTCTCAAAAAAATTTGTAGCCTAATATGAATAATGATCTGCAGATAAGATAGGCAGTCTTATAAAAAATACATTATTAATTGATATGCAACACGAACTTTTCGCATGTGTGCAATGTTCAAAGTATTTTGTTACATTTGATTAAATTGTGCCTCAAAAACTACGTAAAAATGAAACGTAATTTCATATAAATATTGTGGCATATAAATATTTCTATGAAATCTACGATATTTAAAAAAAAATTAGACTAATGATTTTCTTGCTCTTATTTCAGCCTTTTTGCATTCGGTAACAACCTTAATGCCAGGCAAATCAAGATTTGGAATGATAATGATCGTTTATAATCATAAGTATAGAATCCTCATACATTTTCCACAAATTGTCTTGCAACTGCTATATAATCAAAACTTAGATACGAAAAGTCTATAAGTTTCATTACGTATATTACCAACAATCATATATTTGTTATTTTTAAATTATAGCAACGATTTCTATTAATAGCAATGTTTCAATTGACAATTACATCTATGATCTAAAAAGATATTTTACACTTCTAGCTCTCATTATGTGTTAAGAAAAAGTCAACATGCTTTATAATTTACTTCATTTACGTTTCCGCGCGCGCGCGTTTGTGTGCTTACTTCTTTATTTTTATCAAACTTACTTGAAATTCTGATTTATAAATATCCTTTTTCGCCTTCAGGCTATTTATTCAAAAAATTATGCTACGACTGTACTTTATCAGATTCATTCTCATCTAATAACTCCTTAGTTTCTGATTCAGGAGTGTCAGATGTTTCGCCTGGTCTTTCAACCACTTCAATATCTGAGTCTAAAGAATAAAAAATTGCACAAATATAGATACTAGTTTTATTATTTATGCTACAAACTAAAAACATTGGCAGTAATTAGATTAAAATCAAATTAGTAGAGAAATCGATATAAATGAAGAAAAATCATACCTGTATCTGATTGTGTGCATGTTTCCAGCTCAGTAAGTTTTATTGTCTCTTCGTCTGTATTAGGAGGTAAATTAACTTCGGGTGTATTCGAAGCTGTAGGGGAATTATCAAACTCTAATTTTGGAGCAAAAGGCTTTTGCTTTCTTGCAGGATTCCAGAAACCACAGTAACAACATCTGAATGCTGCATAAAAAATATATATATTAGATAATATTGTCTGTTTAAATATATTTTGGGGAAAACTCTTTAAAAGACAAGCATCTTACTCACCAAAATATTCAAACTCTTCTTTCAAAGCCATTCCATTGTGCGACTCGCATTGTCGACAAATTAAAGCATAGCGATTTGAAGGACCATCACCTACTAAATAATCAACCAAACGATCGATCACTGTTCTTTGATGCGGCAATACAGGTCGTGGTAATGGTGATCCTAGTCATATATACGATCGTTAATTATTTCTATATGACTAATGAACTAATGTGCAATATACCATACAATATGTATAAGTGCAATATTTTTGTAAATCATTATAGTATTATATATTTACTTACGAAAACCTATGGCTGCAGGATTAATTATTCTAGACTGGAAAGGAGTATTTGAAGGTTGATTAATCGGTCTAATGATAGGTGTAGGTTGACCAGAACCAGATGCACCAATCTGCATATTTTGTGGGTAATTTTGAGTCGGTATAATTCTTCTTCTTAACTCACTAGGCAGAGGAGATATTATAGCCTGTGGCGTAGGACGCCGAGGTGTTTCAGATGGTGCTGACACTCTTTGGGTAAGCTAAAAACAGAATCAAAAACATTAATTTTGTATGTTTATTTTATATCATATATCTTCAAAAAAAATTTTTTTTTTAATATAGCTTGTAATTTATTCCCTCAAAATTAAATTGCACATATGTATTATGTATATTTTACTCTTATTATACTTTCGAACATATTCATAAGTATTATGAATTCTGAAGACGACAAACCTTTGGAGTTAACTGTAAAAAAAGAAATAAAACCTAATAAGTATAAAATCAAACTTATAAGAAAAAATAAGTACAACATAAGATAACACAAATTATATATTTTTAGCTTTAAGTTTTGTTCATTTGACATTATTATAATCGAAATATTTAACTGACATTTAAATAATAATAAAAACAACATTCGTTTACTCACAGGTGACATGGTTAATTCATCTGGTGCAAATTTTAATAATATCTCTTTAGCTTTCTTGTACGTCTCCGTTTCAGTAACTTCGTTTAATATCTTCTTTTTCTCTGTTATAATGGTAGACAATTTTTCTCGATTATGAGTAATTTTACGATTGTAATACCATGAAACCATTTTCTTCGTTAAAAGTATTCTGAAAGAGAAATATGTATATTTGATTACATTTTTTATCCAAAAAGTCCATGTGCTGCTATGTAAGAAATAATGGGCCAACAATACGAGTAAAAGAAGGTGTTATATTAATTTATTCTCAAATAGTAAGGAAATCGTGTAAACGTTTCGACTATACTAACAATAAATCTTCTTAATGATCATAAACAATAAGATTAAAGTTAAAAAATAATCATAACGGAGTGCATAAGTTAATGATTTTAAGTTAAAATTACTACGAAACTTACATACTTCAAGAATTAAAAATAAAACATAAATATAAAAACATTACGTCAATAAGAAGCTGTGATAAAGGATAGAAACACTAAGCGATAAAAACACAAACAAAGTTTCTATCCCTTGTCATAGCCTCTTATTGACCTTATGTTCACATATGTATGTTTTATTTTAAATTTTTTATATAATACAAGTTTTGTATGTAAGTTTCGAGATAATTTTAACTTAATTTTAGTATTAACTTAAATTTAATTTATTCCGTTATGGCTATCTTTTAATTTCAATCTTATTCTTTACAATCACTTTATCTGAAGAAGACTTAGTATAGTCGAAATATTTACATAATTTGTCCTTACTATTTCAGAATAAATTATAAATCAATATAACACCTTCTTTTTGCTCATATTGTTGGCCCATCAATTTCTTTACATTGCATGCACTGCATACAACAAGCTTAATTTTTCCATTATTTCCATACGTTATACAATTATAATCAGAAAGTGTCTCGCACTTGTGTACTTACAAAATCGGAAAAAACAGTAACGGTGTTATATAAAAGAGCTGATCGTACAACGAAGCTGGGAAGAAGCAAAAGTAAAAGATGAAGGCTATCATAATATAAAGAATAACGCCATAGATGATGATGGTTCCAACTATCTTCTTGTGTCTCTGCTCCGTAGTCTGCCCATACTGTTGGATATCTTTGATTTGCTGTTAAAACAGAAAGTTATGTAATGCCATTTTATAATATCTACCGCAATGTGGTACAACGAACAAAATACTACTTACTGCATCTAGACTCTCCAAAATTTCAATGGTCGTCTTCTTTTTCTGAAAATCATAAATTTTATATTATAACGCGTGTACTCATACTCATAAATACATGTCTTTACATAGAGATGTTTAGCAAATCGCGATAACGGCAGAAATTATCTTAAAAAAATAAAAATAAAATTGGAATAAATTTTTCTGTAATATTTGATAAAATACTAAACTAAGCGTGAATAAAATTGGGGGAATAACACTTGTAAAATATATTTCCTTCATATTCTATATTTATAGAGCGGGCTTTGTACAGACTCCAGCATGACTGCACAGACAAGGAAATAAATTACATAGCTAGCTGACCAAATCCGTAGTAAAAAAATAATTCGATTTCAGTTTACGAAGCAACATATCGCGTATCGTTCGCGCATCCGTAACATAATTCCTTCGGTGACGCGTCTAAATTAGAACAAAGTTCGTCATTGAATGTTAATTTGGATCTTTCACAATATCCTGCGGAATAAATTTATCGGCCGTTTTTGTTTACTCATGACAATGGTGGGCACCCGAGGCGAGAAATCGCCTCACACGACGAACCCAAGGTTACATATACGTATACGTACACATGACTTTTTAAAAAAGATAATACAATTATATACGGCTACGTGCATCTCGTTTAGAAAAAAGGAACCCAAAGTTGTTTCGCGCCAAGGTTATAACCGTATACACGAATACAGGTCTGTCGTCATCCAAACGGATTCACGGCTATAAATAGGTGATAGAATGACATTTGGAAATATTGCTTGGCGATCGTTCGGCGAACGGATAGATAAGTGCGGGGGGACGCTGGCGTACGTTGGCCACGTTAACCTCAACGGAAGCGTCAGAAGGAAACCTCGACACGCTCGGCCGCTCTCGGGTACTCACCTGAAATCTGGACAGTATTATTCCCATATTAACGACAGTTTACGACGAAGACGGAGACTACGTGAAGAAGATCCTAATGTTGATGTCGATCGCGGATGCGTGTCGCATCGAAACCGACATAAAAGCGCCGCCTCCCAATCGTTTTAAAATAGTCCTCGTCCTACCCCTCAGCACCTCAGCAGGCCGGTTGTGCCGCGCCGCGGCGCCGCTCGATATACGATCCAAATTTAAATCCCCGTCGCGCCTCGTGCTCCTTCCGATATTTATAGTCCGATTCGTCTACGTCTAGGGGATTGTCCGGCGCGTCGTCGCCCGTCGAACGACGGTTATCATGTTCGGCGCGGCGGAAAAAGATGAAGGAAGAAATACGAGGTCCGCTCCAGCTGTCAGCCCGTTGCCCGTCAACACAACGTGTTCGCGCTCTAATCTTCCGGACCGGACGGCACGCACAAACAGCAACAGACGCGATCGCGGCTCGCGCTCTGCTCCGCGCACTCGTTCGCGACTCGGCGGCCTCGGCGCTGTTCGGCGCTGTTCGGCGCTGCTCGACGCAGCCAGGACCGAACACGGAACTGGGCGTTCGGAAACTCACGAAGCGGGTGCACAGCGGTCACAGCGGAGCAGCCGTCGAATAGAATCCTGTATCACTTATTGGCTGCGTTCAGGCGAACCTTTGCTTAGCAAAGCGAAAGGTAGCAATTGGTTGGATCCAAAGGTAAGAACCAATAAATTGCTACTTTCAATTGCTACTTTGTGCTTAGCTAAGCAGAGATTCGGCAAAACGCAGCCAATCTTGAAATGTTGTATTTCGAACTCAAATCTGAGACGATTTTTCCTTTTCCGAAATTTTTTCCAAAGCTTAGTTTTTGAATTATAAAAAGAAATAGTTATAACTTTATTTTGTCAGTTGGATGTAATCGTGGTCAAAAAGGTTTTCCGACTTTTTGCGATAAGTTTCGGAACTCTGCCATGTGAGAGATGACAGCCTATGCTCAGTGCTCACGGACTTGCGGAGCGACGCATTATTGGAGCAGAATAGCAGATGAATCATGTATACGAGGTGTTAATAAATAAGTGCCTGCCAAATAGACATCATACACCTGGTGTCTATCATTAATTAAAAGCTTTTAATCATCTTATATGTATGTCTCTAGTCACCATCCCCTAATATTCATTCATATTATATTTTCAATTGTGATAAAATTATATTTCACGTAATTTCTTTTTTATAGGTATTAAAATGCCTATTTACCTCCTTATGGATGTATTAATATTTTACACTTTTTTATAGCATTGCTCACTAATCAATCATTTTACTTACCGTGTTCTCTGCTCACATTCCTTCCCGTGCCCTATAGTCTGTGTGTGTGTGTATTGTATAGAACACAAGGGGGAAATAAGAGAAAGAAGATAGAAGAGAAGGATATTCAACAATGCAAGGAAATCTTTGAAATCTTCTTTCGGTAATTTTCCTTTAATCCATCCTCGAGCCCGGCTATATTTTGCCCTTTTAGTTGAACTAATTAATAATACGATTAATTCGGGTACTATTATTAATAATATATGTATATGCATATAAGTACTATTCCGTTAATGTAAACGAATTATTAATTTTTTGTTATTCAATGTAGGAAGAGGGAATTATATGACTGAAAACTGTTGCTATATACACAGTGTCACTATACACTGCATTCTTGAATTGATCTCACTCAGGAGATGCCTCAGGAGGTACATTTTGCTTGAATCTGGATGATCGTACAGATCATGGAGACTTGGACTCGAGTTCAACATAAAATATAATATAAATTTTTCGGGTTTATTTTTTATATATATAGCAATAGCAGATTCTTGTGTTTCTTATCTTTGCTCCATTTCTTCCTCTCCAGAGTCTACATTATATATTATTTCATTCTAAATGCAGAGAACGTAACAATGCAGCTTATAAAAACCTATCTCTAACTACGACTTAGACAGAGCGACCAGGAACATCATTCCTACCGGCACGTGAATGTGTGTGAATGCGAATGGCGACGCGGCTGTGACAATTCACATTGCACGTCGCAGTAGCCTGAGTCTGCACGTGACGTGTATGTACCTGTTTGGGCTAGAAATTTTTGAAAGTTTCTACGGAAACTAATCATATATCTGATTATCTTTCTTAATTGGATTTATTGGATTTGGATATTGGCCATAGGCTCCCTGCATTGCCTATGAAGGAGGTTGCCTAGTAACAGACCCTTCTATTCCTTTTATCAGGGAAGAATCCTCAAGACACCTCAAGAAGAGGGCTGTGACAATCCGGAAACGTGAATCATGCGCGCGCGCAAGAGAGAGAGACAGAATGCGACAGCTCCGATTATCGCAGACCTAACCCGGCCCGGAGCTGGCCGAGCGTCTCTCCCTGCCACCGCGCCGCTCTGATAGGTGACGTATGATACCCGACGGCGGCGGCGGCGGCGGCGGCCGTCTCTCGACCGTCCGTCGTTCGTGCTCGTTCCTGGTCGGTCAGTACCAGTCAGTACGCGTAGTCGGTACGGTGCGCGTGGTTCTCGGGGTTGGCTCGCGCATGAATGCACGCAAACCGTTCGCTCTCCGTCACTCTCCCCATCTCGCGTCGTCACCCTCCTTCGCGGCGAGACGGATCAGCTCTGCATAGTATGACTGACTCCCAAATCGAGATGCATTACACGGATTACACCCCGCCGACGTCGGACACCATCCAGACGAAGCCGTTCCCGATACGAGGTAATATTTTGAGAGTCCTCTCCTGCTCTCTCCTTCTCTCTTTCTCGCGCACGTACGACATATACCCCAACTATATATCTCTCTCTGTCTCTCCCTCCCTCCCTCCCTCTCCTCTCTCCCTTCGTCGCCCCTCCCCCACGCACTCGTAAGGTCGAACACGTGCGAGGAACGTGAGCTCGCGATTGCGATTCGGAGGAAGTTCAAGGTCTCCGATCTCGCGGTCAATGTACTGGGTGTCTTCTCCCCCGTATATGCGATCGACCACACCGGTTCGCCGTCTCGGTGATCGGCGCGATTCCTTCCCGCCCCCGCCCCCGTCGGCGGAAAACGCGAGTGGGAAAACGTGCGTGTTCAACCCGCTCGAGGAGAAAGCACGCGGTTCGATTTTCTGGTTCAAGAATTGATTATGTGTATTTTCTTTTTTAGGAACAACAGAAGATAAAATCCTATTTGTTTACCTGATATCTTTATCTCCAATGTAAAGACGATAAAGAATTTAACGATCGTCGCGTCTACTTAAGATCTTTTTAACTGCATTGTCTTGTGTATCTTTCTAATTATCCTGCGTTATTATGCAGCTTTTTTTCTCGTCGTAACGACTTATTTTAACAAGAAAGAAAACAATGAGATAAAAGAACAAATATTTATCTCTTCTTGTGTTCGTTCCTATCATTTTTTTAATCTTTTTCTGGTCTTAAGAATTAAAAAAAGATAAAAAAAATAAGCATCGATAAAACATTTATTGTCTTCCCTAAGGAAAATTTTGACAAGCGGAACATAATATACTTGACGCATGTGGCATATCGCGTTGGGACTGCAAGATTAAAATCATCGCTTTTTATTCCACTAGCAACCTTGAGCAACTCAACCCGAGGAACTCAACGCCAAAAAGCGAAAAGAATCTCTCTTTTCCGAGTGTGCTGACGGAATTGGCTACGTTTCATTTCCTTCGCGCGCGAGGACAAATAATTTCATATTATTATGCATATTATCGCCTTTCGAGGAAGCAGACTCGTTAGATAAATATCGTTCCGAAGAAGATAACGCGCCAAGCGCATCAAAGATATCCGAGGAAAAAAGGATAATGTCAATCAAGATATTAAAAAAATTATAATAATTCTGTATGTATCCGCGTATGAAAAAGCGATTATAATATATCTTCAACTCCAAGTCGATAAGACTGGCTACTTGAGATTATTATGACTCATTTTGACTGAAGATACGCAAATGCAAAACCGGGCACGCACTACAGACCTTACTCTTCAGGCAGGCAGGCAGGCTTATTTTATCGACGGATTATGATAAACAACAGCGATACGATTGAAGAAATAATTATAATAATAATTATATTTTAAAAAGAGTCAAAAGACCTCGAGTAAATTCCCTAAAGTATCTTATCTTTCTTCGAATATATGTATCTCAGCCATACATTGACTCTCAAGTGTATCTGTATGTTATATTATATCTTGATATGTCAGACATTCTTTAGAGAAATTCGAGATTCGCGATTAGAATGATAGAACCGCGCGCGTATTATACATTCTACTTATCGCGCAAGAGGTGTCAGATTTAGACGAAAAACAATTTTCCAAGTGTCTCGTATTGGTATATGATTAGATCTAGTTCTAGTTTCGTAAGAGAGTTAAAAGACGTCGCATTTAAGTCACTTACAAGATGATGTAACGACGAAGGTCTTATATAAAATTTAATATGTTT